GAAGGCAGAGATTGGAGTGTACAAATATCGAGTCTTCGACTCTATTTGGTTTGATTTTGTTCCTCCTTAAAGAATGTATAAAAGAATAAGTGCTTCAATTCCTCTCACCACATGAGGAGGAACAAGGTTGCCCCAGTAACTTCAAAGCCAAGTTTTGGAGCAAGGGTGTCGTAGAGCCATAGATAACCCACCAAAAAGCCGGCTCCATGAGTCCTCTATCACTCATGGAATCATGACTTCCAAATTCTTTAAAGCACGCTGAAAACTTGGCATACTCTTCTTTGGTCTTTCTTCGCTTCTCCAAATTAGAAAAATATCTTTGAAAATAATTTTCTCTTTCATTTGAAATCTCTTCATCTTTGTGTGGAGGAACACGATTAGGAGCCATATAAAGCTATTCTATGCTATTATACCTATTAGACAAAGTAAATAAAATGATAATCATTTGATATCTAGAAATTAAATTAGAATCTTAAAGTTTAGAGCTTACAAATTAACTCGGATTCAAGGAATGTGCCAAGCAATGGAGGGGTGTGTTGCTCTTGCCCCATCTATCCATTAATATTTCATAATTTACTGAATAAAAGGTTGATTCTTCATCTTCCCGCTTCCCTTCATGACGAAAGATAATAACCTTCACTTGCTCAATCATAGAATCCCACATATCATAAACTAAGTATAGGTAAGGCATATCTGTATCGGCCTTCTTTAGCATCTCATAAATGGGTTAAGTAAAGGAATTGTATAATCAATTTTGTCCCACCACAAATCATTTAATATTTTCTCATTTACAAAAGCCATTTTTTCAACATCATCTTCTCTATAAGAAGACCATTGATTACTAATAACCATGTTTTGGAGACCACATTTTAGAACTTTAAATCTTCTAAGCATCACAATGGTTGAAGCAAAATGTGTCTCCGCAATTGAGAGCATCTTCAAATTCACATGATCATTAAGCATGTCCAATCTCATGTTGTGGTTCACAATAAAATTTTTAATGCCCACACAATACCCAACAATAATTGAGATCCAATTATACTCTTCATAAACAAGTCCATTGGCTTTGGTGTTTTTTGGTGCACAAATATTTTTCAAAGCAAGATTAAGTGTGTGCACCACACAAAGGGTCCAAAGATGTGTTTATGACGACCCTGAACAAGCATTCCTGCACTCCTACAAACGGGAGCATTATCAATGATCACTTGAACCACATTTTGAGGTCCAACTGCATGAATGATCTCCATAACCAAGTTGGATATGAAATATTTGTCATTATATTCACCTTCACAATTAACTGCTTTCAAGAACATAGGCCCACTTTCACACACTACCATGAAATTTATGATTGGCCTCCTTTGAGCATCTGTCCAACCATCAGAACAATACTTACACTTTTTTCTTTCCACGATTGCTTCGTTAGCTCTAACAACCTCTTAATATTTGCTCTCTCTTTTTGAAGAAGTGAAGTCCTCAACATATTATAACTAGGAGGGATATAGTCTCATCATATGAGTAGCTGCAAAAGTGTGGGAGCGACAATAATGTAGATTCCTTGCAAGGTGGAATGGTAAACCAGCTGAGTAAAACATCGTTGTAATCTCACTATGTAGCTCTTCTCGAGCTCCAACATTAAAGGCTTTCTCAAGAGCAGAAGTAGCCTTTTTTTTTTTTTTAGATCTAAACCAGCTCGCTGCATTAATGAATCAAATTGCATTCCCATAGCACTACTAACACTTGCATTCGAGGAAGCGGGTTTGCTTGATGATGAAGATGGTGGTAAAAGGACTTGTTTGGGCACACTTTTTTTCACTCTCACCTCAGCTTCATCAGCTAACCTTTGTTTTTCAATTAATAATTGCAGTCACTTTCCGGCATACTTGAACTCCATGACCGTTGATTTTTAACAAATGTGTCTTAACCCTATCATATGATCCTTTAAAACTCAGTTGACATAAATTGCATTGAAACTGAACATTTCCTCCCCCTACACCAATTTTATCTATTTTTGTACAATATTTCCATAAATGGGTGTGATCATTACTGCCATCTCCACTACTACTGGCAGAGAACTCATTTTCCTAAATCCTAAATAATAGGCAACACAACAATTTTCAGAAGGCAGCAGGCAGCACAGATGACCATATTAGCACAAATGACAATTTTCAAAACCAGCAGGCAGCAGCACACTAGTACAAAAGGCAACAGCACAGATGACCAAAAAAAAAACATAGTAACACAACAAAAAAGAGAAGACAGAAGCTAGCTAGGAAAGCAATTTTCAGTATTTAAAACTAGCAGACAACAACACACTAGCATAGAAGGCAGTAACACAGATGACCAAGACCAAAAACAAAATCCTGAAGGCAGCAAGCAACACAACACCAGACCAAAAAACAATCTCCAAATTTTGAAAACCCTAAAAATCCTCAATCAAATTAACCTACTCAAATTTTTTGAACGTCCACACTCCATACAGACCAGAAGATGAAGAGGTAAAAGCAGTAGTAGCAGATCTGAAAAAAGTTGAAGCAAGAAGAAGAACTTGCAAGATCGCAATCGCAGATCGCGATCGCAGTCGCAGTTGCAGTCACAGGTTAGTCTCCCTTCCTCTTCTCTCTCCTTCTCCTCCTCTGGTCCTCTCGAGCTCCTTCTCTTCTCTCTGTCGAACACATTGAATGTCGATTGGAGACGTTCGGTTCATAGATCAGATGCCTTTTGTTTTTCCCTATTGTTTTTTCTTTTTCAAGCCCAAAAAACGTAGCTTTGGCCTTTTTTTTTTCGTTTTGGCTCTCCTAAGTTTTTAAAATAACAAAGTACCCCGCCGTATCCCCCACGTGTCCAAGCCGTATCTGGCCAAAAAAAATCACAACCACTGTTCAGGACACTTTTGCATGTGTCGAACACGTATCCGACCGTCGGACACGTGTATTTGTGTCGAACATGTGTCCGACACTGCCATAGCGACCCCCCGACGAGTATTCGTGCTTCCTAGCCCATCAGACTTGGGTGGGAGGTGTAGTTGGCTCCTATTGTTTTCCAAAAATATTTTTATACTAAATATTTTCCAGTCTAAGGAGTTGCTGCATTCTGCATTTGTCTTCTAGAATATACGTCGTGCAATTTCATCTGTATTGCAAAAAACAGAAACATCTTTTCATGCCGTGAAGTTGAAACTCGTATCTATTAACAACTTAGCTGTACTTGGTGATTACAGACAACTTCTTGTACTCAAATAGATAGAGTTACCCATGTGATTATGATGTGACTCACATCATAAATAAGTTGACAACAGTTGTATGAATCGTGTAATACGTATCGCATATCGTACGATACGTTTTGATATATGAAGAAAATGAGACTTATCACTCAAGTGTATCGGACTTGTCCTGGATTGTGCGATACACAAACGATATGATATGTCCGATACGGGAGGAAACAAATCAATTTTTATTTTTATTTTTTGGATTGTAACAAAAAAATGTTGCCAGTTAACATGGATGTATTTTTTTTAAACACTAGGTAGTGAAACGACATCCTATCTAGGGTCTTAAAAAATACAAGTCTTCTTTTGTTGTTCGTGCCATCATAGTAGCAAATAGTTTAATTTTTAAAAATGTCCTCCTTTGGTTCCTCTAGATGTTAGAAATTAGAACTCTCAAAATTTTGATATTGATGAATTGGATTAGCAGCTTGAATACTTAGATTGGTAATTTTTAGTTTTGGTCCTTATAGTCTCTTTAAATTATTTTATGTAAGAAATTTGTGGTTCAATGAAATTTATTATGACTTTTTTTTTTTTATAGGTATCTGTATTTTTTTAATTTTTTTTTATAAAATAGCATATATCTTGCGATACACGATACACAATTTTTGAAAAACGATTCACCTTCTGATACACATTTTGACAACCTTAGATGTGAATGGTTCATACTATAATAGCAATATTGAAGTTATTTTTGAGTTCGCTTTTCTCTTTACATGCTTGCAGCTTGCCTCTGAGGTGGAATCGGCGTTGCTGCAACAAGTACTGAATCTCACACCAGAGCAGCTAAGTTCACTGCCACCAGATCAGCAGCAACAAGTCATTCAGCTCCAGCAGATACTTCGGCAGCAACTTAGTTGACAGTTCAAACATGAGTAGGTCTCTACACAAGCCACTACAGACAGTGCTCTCAATTTAACTTTTACCTATTTTAGCTGGGTAAAGGGCTTATTATCACCTCAAATGATTTCAGAGGGTGTAAAATTATTGGAAGATCTTCTTTGGTATTGTAAAGGCAGAGAATTGTAAAATTCATGTAATGGTTAGGCTATTGTGGTTAAGAAAATACCCATGAAATGGAAGGAGGAAAAGTAAAAATTTTGGTACATTTTGAGTTCAAGAAATTTGAGATTACAGTTCCCTTTTCCATATTTCAAGCATACCATTATTCCCATTTTCGAAGTTGCTTGTGCTTTTCTTGCTCCAATACCGCAGCTGTCTTTCATCACCAAGTCCTAGGTTCTTTGTATCAGCTGAAATAAATAAAAAAAGCTAGAGGTTTCTTGTGGTCTAGTTAGCCTTCCATACAGTATGATAACCTACTAACTGTTTGGTGATCTTTTTAGGTACTTTCTTGCTTGTGTTATTTGATAGAGCGTTTGTTTTTTGTATATTTGCTTTTTAATTTTTCCTTGTCCCAACTTATGCCCTTTTCCAAGTTTAATTATATGTATTGTACCATATACACACACTGCTTGTTTCTTGATCTAAGGATCTACTAGATCTACTCACTTCAATTGATAAAAACACTTGTGCTCAATCTAGTGGTATTTATATGGGGATTCTATTTACTTCGTATGATTCTATTCAAGATCACTGCAGTTCGTTTTCAAAAGTGGCCCATTCTTCCTGTTGATAGCAAGCATTATCAAATGTAACTTAACTTGTTAATGATGCTTGAAGTCTCCGTGATGTGTACAATTGAGTATAGCAGAATACTTGATGAGAAGCATTTTATTGTAGGATAATTATTGTTATGCGATTAAGGTACATAATTCAAGGCAGGCATGCTGTGTCCCACCTCTAGCAAAACATTGCAAAACATACGTTTTATTATTCATAATACAACCAGGGAACTACTGACGATAGCAGTGAAGAGTTCATGCGGCTGCATCGGTACAGGAAGAGGCCATCTTGATGACATAAATAGGATCTCCTACTTTGATTGTCTTCCCCTTCATTTGATTTAGGGAGTCTGGGCAGACCAAGTTCTGTCCAAAGTAGACCTGGAAAATCATTAGAGTTCTGTAAATCATTCACACTCATGGCGGAGTATAAAGAACATTCATTGTTTTTTTTTTTTTGTGTTCAGGCAAAGTAACGTTTACAGATTTGAGTTTACCTTCCCCTGCTGTTTTCGGGTTGGACGCAAGATCTTATCTGACCTGAACTTCATAAGAGTTTGAGTAGGCTCCGAGCCTGCTATTGCAGTATCTTGATTGATTGTGGGTACCTGCAAATGACGAGGAGGTTTTCCTATGCATAGAAGTTCTGACACTACTAAAACCAACAAAGATGACTGTCCACAATTATCACACACAAATATTTAAAGAACTCCATTACAAGACGGAAGCTTTTCAATTGTTTGTTAGAAAATCTGATTTTGAGCATTAACATGTTCATAAGCACTTGAGCAACAGGCATGACTAGCAAATAAAAAGATAGCAACCCATAAGATTTGTTGGTAATGTTATTTTCCTTGTTGACATCACTGTAAAATTCCATATTATTTTTAAATGATTTGGCAACATGAACACCAAATTACAAAAGAATGCAGCAACCCTTTTAACTGATTCACAGTCTCCAGATACCACGCCAACTACAATAATCCAAGCGGAAGATGCAGAGGGATAATTTTTTACCTTACAGCGGGAACATAGCTTGACACCATGGAATGTTAACTTGTTTATCCTCATCTCCTTCCACAAGTCCTCAGAAAATGGTTCACAACCATCAACAAGGATGCTATAACAAAGTAAAAAAAAAAAAATTATTTGACAATTAGGATTGCGTTGACTAATAGTAGTGCAAATCACGTATGCTCATAGGAAAGATGAAAAATAATGTCGAAGGCTTTTAAAAAAAATTATAGAAAAAGCAATGTTTTCTAGAATGCCATGTCATAAAAGGGTCCAAAGTAGTATCATGCTCTCGGAGAAGCTAGCATAAGTTCATTCAAACGGTAAAGTGTTGTTGACATTGAAAACAAGATGCTTACATGTTTTACTTGAAAAATGAGACATGAGTCCAAACACGTACTTTGGCCTAAAACGGTTAACTGGTAAAGGATCCTTGAGAAGCTTGTTCAGTGCATCCAATGATCCCTGTCAAAGAAACATTGACAAAGCCAACATGTAACATTTTATTCAAGAGCATGGTACTTTAAACTTGGTACTGCCTAACCTGGGATAGCAGGAGGAACGGATACCCGTCAGAAAACATGACTTTGTATCCACGAGCATAATTAGGGTCCACTGCCCTGGTTTCTGACACTGCATCAATGTAAAAACCAGTTGTGCCGAGTTACGGACGTCTTATTCAACATCATGTGGTAAAGAGATAGTATTAAGCTCCACGATGGACAAAACTTCTAACTATAATTTGGAGAATTTGAAATACTTCGGAAACTACTAGGAAAACAGACAACGTGACACAATTTGGCTATTTTTTTTCCTCAGCATAAACAAATATGCCATGTTTGAGCAACACAAACCTATATTTTCGTATGCCTTATATTATCTGAAACCATTTATAATTATACATCCATACTTCCATAGTCGATTAATACATATTTTATATTCATGATACAAGTTCCAAAAAGAATCACTTTGGGGCTAGGGGTACAATTTAGGATTGGAAATTAAGGCAATCTAAATTGCAAAACCATGCTGGTTGGGGTTATTGCACCCAGATCGTGAGTCGTATAGGGTTGAGTTCTGGTAACTGTGCACCAGACCACGATTTATGCAATCAGAATCATTTCCTGGGAAATATAAATTGAGTGATAGAACTCCTGCTAAAACAGCAAACCCATACTGCAACAGAGATGCTTCTCTCTAGTCATGAAAAGTGTTAGAAGCAGACAAACAAAGAAATTAAGAATCTTGCCTATAATGTATGTTATTGTTTCATTTTCTGATGAAACAATGGGAATCTAATTGAGTTTTATTCAAAATTGCAAAAGAATTAGATGTACATAGAAACAATTATAGGCCTACAGTTGCATGCGTAGGGTACAGCAATAGATTGGGCACTACCTTCATTGAAACGCACTAGCCGACTCGGTTTCCCAAGATAATAAGAGAACCATTTTGATGCTTCAGCTCCCTCATCGAATGCAGAACCCGACCACTCCCATACTGAGACGCCATTAGAAATCTCACTTGGTTTACTCAATGAAACATTCAGGACATCCATCCCAGGGGCCTTTATCACTGTCGAAGAGTAACTACAGATCATTACTCAGATTACATCTCCATCGCTATTTTGAAGCATGACAAATTCTTCAAAAAAAAGAATCTTACCTGATTCATGTAAAACTTGAAACCCCCAACACAATGGCAAGGAGAAGAAGGAGATGATAATCATTTAGGCAACAATCATGTTTTTCATCCTTCGCTTCCACTATTTTACCCATCATTGAATATTTGGAGGGGAAAAGTGTCTTTAAAGGAACAAGTGTTTGCATGGATAATTTCTCATGGTAAGATCAGTACATATAAAGTGATTCAAAAGAGAAGACCTATACTTTGTCTTCAACCACAATGTTGTGTTATGTGTAGAGGTGATAGTGAGATTGCGGATCACTTATTTTTGCATTGCCCATTAGTGTATGCATTATGGAATAAACTTTTTGGCTTTATGGGAGTTGCGTAGGTTGCTATGGTATCTATGTTTTGTTTGGAAGATGTGGGCTTTGGGAATAATAGTAAATGGAAGACCATTTGGCATAGTGCCTTCTTTGCTACATTATGGGTCATTTGGAAGGAGAGTATCGTGAGAATTTTCGAAAATAAATGTGAAGATGTTGAAGGTCTATGGGAAAGGCTTTATTTTTTGGCGTCCTTTCGGGCATCGATGTCTATACCTTTTTTTTTTTTTTGGTATTAGAACAAGTAGGAAAGCCTCATGTGGCTAGTAATGTTGGTTATCTTTTTTTTCTTTCTAAAATCTTGTCTTGTGGTGGACTAGAAGTCCACCACTTGATGGGGTCTTCTTGTAATATTTCCATTAGTTATCAATAAAGAGTGTTCCTAATCAAAAAAAAAAAGTGTGCATATCTAAATCTAGATTAGAATTCAACAGCCAACTAGCATGCACAATCAAACTAATGTTGTGCATAGAAGAAAAAGCATCATACTAAAGGGGCAAAAAAAGAGAACCTAGAAATTGTATGGCACCATTACGAGTGAGATCTTACCAATTACTGTAAGCAATCCCGTTCATGCATCATATTTACAAGCTTAAATTGAAAACACAAATAATTGGGAATTCCTTGGCTCATTTCATTTATACAGACAATAAGCAAAAATCCATCAGCATATCCAGATGATAAGGGCAAGACGCATAAAAATTGAAATAATATGCACCCAGACAGGAGTTTGGTCTGGCGGGCAAAACAGGTCCTCAAGGGCTATATTAGAAGAGGAAGGGGAGAGAGAGAGAGAGAGAATCTAAGGATGTCAAGTTTAACAATGAGCAGTCAAGCAATATGGGCTGAAATGTCAAATGAAATTGAAAATATCCGGAGAAAAACTGAACATTTTCACAGAAACAGATTTTGGGGGCAAACTGCAAAGTTGTAATGGAAAGCATATTGCAACAGAAGCAGCCATCAATTTAGCAAGAAATGCTAGTAGTAGTTTTTAAATTTCAAATCAAATCTATAAAGGTGGAAACATTATTTCATCATCAAAACATGAGTTGAGCCCTGTTTAGTTATGAAAAGGAATATCAGAACTCCAGGCATATCATATGATATTAGAACCAAGTATTTTTAACAAAAATTAAAAAAAAAATTATAGCATACTGTTTGGAGATAGAAAAGTTTACATTAGAAATCATGTTTTTACCCAGATATGAGCTTTTAGAAGGTTCCCAACTCTCCGAAAATGCCTCATTTGGCAGAGTCACTTCAACTAGCGCAAGCTTTGGTTCAACCCTTTGAGTGTATGCCCTGCCTTTGGAATTCACAACCAACCATTGTCGATCCCAGCGAAATCCTGCATATATGAGCACAGAAGAAACTGAGGCACATCTGCTAGTAGAAGAACCACAATCTATTCCTTGACATACCAGTGTTTGTGTCTATTAAGTTGAATCAACCAAAAACATTCACCAACATCACCAAAGGAATAATATTATTATTCATCAATATCCATGAAAATACTACATAATAGACAATAAACAATAAAGTGGTCAATGTTGCAAGTATAAAACCAAAAAAACTACAATTTGAGCAGCTGCAGTAAGCATAACCATTTGTTACTAAATTTAACCATAAAAAATTCAACCTTATTGAAACACTTGGATATAATATCCCTCTCTCTAACATAGATGAGATAGGAAATCGTCAACTATACTCACTGTAGAGAGAACCGACTAATGTGACCTCATTTCCGGGGAGGACTGATATGATATGGCGTTTCTTACCGCTTGATTTGCTTCTAGGCTTGTAGGTTCGGGTTCCCTTCTTTCATTAGCGACTCGGGGAGCTGTCTGAGAAATGCAGTTCAGGGTTCCACTCTATCCTACCGCCCAGGTTGGGTGGATTGCCTGAATTTTTCCCTACAGTGTAATAACTATGGTGGTATACTGAACTTCTGAAGCATTTTTGAAATACCAGAATTCAGTCTCTTCCCACGAATTATTCCCTGCTTTGAGGAAGGGGTGCCGAGCTTGCCTGACTAATACCCTAAAGAGTAAACACAAATGATGGTGTATTTTTTTACCCTAACTTCAATTGTTCATCATTGACACATAAAGAGAAGAAAACTGTCTGTAGGTTCTTTGACCCAAGTAAGTCAGCAGCTAAAAGATTTATTATCACAAGTCAGATTTCAAGAAAGACCTTTGATACGCGCAAGCAATGCATTACATGCAGTTGGGTTTAGGGAAATAAAAGGATTTACACAATAAGAAACAAGAACAACCAAAGAAACGTTGGGGTCATACCAGTGGAAGTGAGAGCTGCTTGAGAAACAGAAATTCCACGGCATGATTTGATCGGGTATATGAAGATCGATGTTACTTTTGCTGCTGTAGGCTCTGCCATCTCTCTCTCTCTAATGTTGGGTACCACGTAGCCACTTTCATCTGCTTCCAAATTTATAGAGCTGGCTCATTAGTAGGAGTGATCGTCGGGACAGTGAATGTACTTGTCGGTACATGTGGTCAGGGAGGAACACATGTCCGGGAATTTTTTTTTTGATAGTAAAAAGGTACAACCGGCTGCTCCATTTACCTTGAAATTTGAAATCAATAATTGGGATCCACCGATTGCTTTAACTGTAATATTCTATTTACCAAATTTATTATTATGTCGTTTAAAGTTAAAGTTATGACAGAGTAATATTATAAATTTAAAAAATAAATATATATCAACTCTGGTATTTTTATCCTAAATAATGATAAATTCGTCCTATATATTAGTAATGTCAGTTAAAATTATCGTAATATTATCCTAAAAATGGTTATAATATTGTCCAACTACTTTCTTCCTCTTTTTTCTTTCATCATTTCCGCATCTATCATATTCGTTAAAGCTTAAAATATCTTCTTGAATAGTTGTAACATTATCCCAAATGATAGTAATACTAGTTGATGCACGCGTGCATTACACGTCAACTATTTAAAATTTTTTTTATAAAAATATAGATAAATTAGACCAAGTTTCTTTATATGAAAATGGTTATTGAATTTTATAGGTCTTACTTGTCCACTTGTTAATGGAGAATTATACAAAGTGACACTATTGATGTGGGGCAGTGTTATGCTCAAGATTTTTCTCGTATTTTACGTTGTATGAATTGAATTGCATATGGTTCAAAAAAAAAAAATTGAATTGTGTTACATTTGAAAACTGTAATGTTTAACTGTAGTAAGTAATTAATAGTTGGATGACTAATAATATCTTGGACTAATAAGAAGGTATTTCAATGGTTATTATTGTCTTTTTATTTTTTAAGGATAATATTATCAATTAAATTTTTTTGGCAAGCATTCGAAATTAGTACATAGATTATTAGATTTATTCAAATATTTGTTTTTCAACGAATTTAGATATGCATTACATACCTACAAACATATGATGTAATTTTGTGATTATTTAACAAAATTGAGGAGAAATCCATATGCTAAATATTAAAATCGTCTCGAATCAACTTATTCGGATTAGAAGATATATCTATTTTAATGAATTCATATATGCACTATGGAAAATAAAATTCATTGAACAATTGAATTAAATTCGGATCACATTTTTCAAATCAGATTTGGATCAAATTTATATTGTTTGCAAAGAATATAATTAAAAGTCAAACAATGAATTTATTAGTTGAATTAATGCAACTAATACAAAAATAAAAAATTCCTCAAAAAATGATAAAATAGATATTATAGAATTTTTGAAGGATAAATAAGAAAATCAAAAGTTTTTCTCTTAAACCACTTTAAAAAGGATAAAAATAAACATTATAGAGTTATTGAATGATAAATAAGAAAATCAAAATTTTTTCACTTAAACTACTTTTATTAGTGGGTAGTGCTATGTATCATAAATTTATTACTCAAACTTGTATCCCAAATCAAGGAGGACTATTGGATCAATGAGTTCCATCAATTTTTTTAAATAGGACTCACTGATCTAATAATCATCATTGATTTGAGATGCAAATTTGGGTTACAAATTTGAAATAAATATCATTATTCTTTATTAGTAGTATAGATTACCTGAATGGTGTTAAATTCACCTTAATGAAGGGTAAATTCACCCAAATCATTGTAATATCATTCCAAATGATGGTAATTTGTTTATTCAATTAATATTCAGTTGATTAAATTAACGTTCAATTTATTAAATCAATATTTAAATTAATTAAATTAATATTTAATTCATCAAATTAACATTGAATTCATTCAATTAACATTAAAATTTATCAAATTAACATTCAATTCATCTAATTAATATTCAAATTCATTCAATTAATATTCAATTTTTAAAATTAATATCCAAAATCATCAAATAAACATTCAATTCATCAAATCAATACCAAAGTACCATGCAATTTCATCCAATTAACATTCTTTTCACTAAATTTACATCAAATTAACATTCAAATTCATCTAATTATTATAATTCATCCAAATAATATTCATTTTCGTTCAATTAACAATCAATTTATCAAATTAAAATATATTAACATTTACTTCATTAAATTAACATTTAATTCATCAAATTAACATTCAAAGTCAATTGATTAACATTCAATTTATATTTAAATTCTTTTAATTAACATAAAAAATATCCAATAAATATTTAATTCGTCAAATTAACACTAAAGTAATATGAAATTTCATTCAATTAACATTTAATTCCTCAAATTGATATTAAATTAACATCTAAATTCATCCACTTAGCATTTAGTTCATTAAATTAATATTCAATTTCATCTAATTAACATTCAATTTATCAAATTAATAATAAAAAATATTCAAATTCTTCATATTAACATTCAATTTCATTTAGTTAACATTCAATTCGGCATATTAACAAAAAATTATTATTCAGTTTATCAAATTAACATTCAAATTCAATTAGTTGACATTAAATTCATCTAAATCAATATTAACATTCAATTTCTTTCAATTAATATTCAATTTATCATATTAACACCGGTTTGATACTATAATTCCTCAAATTAATATTCAATTTTATCTAATTAACATTTAATTTATCAAAACATTCATCAATGTTCAATTTTATTGTAACACCCCAAGCCATTTAACAATATTCAGAGTGCTAATTACCTCAATAACAAATATATTGAATTTTCATTAAATATCAGAATCACTAAACATCTAAAAAATGAATAAATAACCTCTCGATAACTGTTTAAATTACAACCAATCGAAATCTTCCATTCATTGATTAACCTGATTCTCCACCAAATTTTACTTCAAATTCACCCTGCAACTGAAAGGCTAAATGGGGGTGAACTGGGAAAAGCTCAGTAAGTAATTTAAAACATAATATATGAAGAAAAAGATGAGACGATAATTTATCAACTAATCGATAATCATTCGATGACACAAGAATTAATACGAAAATTTACGGAGTTCAAATATATTGAACATGTCAACGAACTCAAATGCTTGAACAATTAAATCAACCATGATTGAACACTCGGTCAATCCTGACAACAAGCTAGGCATCATTCGGTGCATTTTAATTCAATCATGTCTACTCCTCAGGGCCACAAACACGAATCACAATCATAACCAAGTCACCGAGTATATCTCATACACGAGTCAAAAAATCTCAAGTATTTCACCAAAGTTAACATCATAGCAATTAATGACAAGTCAAACAAAATATTAGAATTTTCTAATAGAAGTATTGAATTTAAGAAGTAGAAACAATGTAAAGTTTTGTGGATGAAAACATAATTAATATTAAACTTTGTGACATATCTATAATTAATGAAACTAAAGGGTTACAAACTATAATTGAAGTTACTCTTTTGTTGGCTGGCTATCATTAACGTGAATGACCTACGTAAAGAAGACAAAAGAAAGAAGATAAATGAAGAAAAAAAAGAAAAACATGGAAGAAAGATGTGGCGGCTGGTTTTGGAATTAGGTGAGAAGGAAAAGAAAAGGAATAGAATAATTGCCAACGAGAGGGGTGTGTGGTGGCGGCTAAAGGTGGTCTAAATTGGTGACTCATGTTTTCATCGCATATGTGTCATTTGTGGTGTTTTGAAGTTCAAGACATATCTAGAGGTTTATATTCTAAACTTTTAAAAGAGATAGATTTTATATGTTTATGATGAGTAAGAGACGTAGTAAGAAGTTGAGGCAAAGGTCTTTGGGATCAAACAAGAAGTGAAAGTTGTAAAGTGAACAATTATGTGGTTATTGATCTATTTACAATAAAATTTTACTATCGTATTATTGGAAGCGTGAGGTCAAGAGTAAATGGTATCGTTTAAGAATCGGGTAAGTGGTTTATACACGATATGCATTCTTTTAATCTCTTTGCAAATAGTATTCAATCTTCTTATCTAAATCTCACTATGTGTGTCTTTCTCCCTGCTTGGATTTCTTATCCTTTGTTTTCTCTATTGACTAAAAATTTGTGTTTAGTTTTGTTAATATCTCTTTTTCCAGTAACCTTAGTAGTTTTCTCTTGAACACAATGTCTGTTTTCTGCAAGTTCATTAATTATGGAGGATGAATTGATTGGCCATCTTCAGTCTTTCAACTTATCTAAAGAAGAGGAGGCAATTTGGATCTTGATGATAAGGATATTGCCAAAGATATGTCTGAATGCGAGAATAGTATATATGGGAAATTCTTGTCTGACAAATCAGTAAATTCGCAGGTGTTACGGAAGACGATGTCAACTGTTTTGGGGATGTAAAAACCTAAAAGTTGCTAAGATCTGACATAACTCTTTCCAATTTTTCTTTCAAGAAAAAAAAAATCTGGAAGGTTATGAAACTTGGCCCATTTGGTGTTTTGGTAATCATCTTCTTTGTCTCAAGGAGTGGTCTCCAAATGTTTTAAGTGCTGGGATTTTTGATGAGTTTTTTGAAGGCCGGTACATACGCTTAATAGGATTAAAAAAAAAAATTACTTGCCAATTTACTTTTGAATTAAGTCTTTGTTGAAAAGTCAAACAAATAGTCACAACTAACGTTCTTTAAAATTACAAAAAAAAAAATGACAATGTCATCACATAATTAAAAACCCTATTCTAAAAACCTACATCATCATAATTTATCTTCTTCTCTAAAATACAAATCGTCGTACACAAAAAAAAATGATATGTTCTCGATTAACGTACCAATTAATTGGAGGTGCAAAGGTACATTAAGTTATATTTACTAATAGCAGCTGCATAGATACACTAACATGAGACGTTTGAACAGACGTCTCTTCGATTAACTAAGAAATTATTACCATAATAAACATACATTTAAACCTCGTCATCTACCCCATGGAAAGTACCTCTACAAATAGCGTAACTAAACTTCATAAAAAAACAGAGAAAAAAAATATAATAGACAAGGCAGCAAAGAACACAAAGCAATATAAAGATGCTTTTAGGGTTCCTAGACGATGTCCACTCAAAACAAGACCACATGCAAGCGA